CAGCCCAGACTGGCCTCACACGTCCTTCCTTTCCTGCCTGAGTCTCCCACATACTGGAGTTACAGAATTGAGCAGCTACACCCGACAATCAATACTTTTTCAGGGACTTGCTGGGGGAGCTGAGAGCTCACACTTTGATGTGGCCAGCAGTGTGCTCAGCCTCTCACACTCCACCACTTACAGGACGTTAGGAGGGTCATTGAGACCTCGGTCTTGTTTTTGTCTTGTTGATTGATTGGTTGCTTTTTATGGTGCTGGGGATGAACCCACGGCTTCACACATACTTCACACACACTAGCAAGCACCCACTGCAGAGTGGCATCACCAGGCCAGAAGCTATTTCAAACCTGAAGATAATGGTCCTTTGTGTGGGAGGGTGTCCTGTGTACACGCTCCTGGACGGGGTGCACATGCGTGGAAATGCTAGCTTACAATGTTGTTGCAGAGGTTGAGTGGCTGAAGCATGTGGCGGACGGACAACCGTCACAGTGAAGCGGTTTCTCAGCCAACGGTAATATGATGTGGGTCTTCAGAGCCGTGCTGGTGTTGTGTTGATGCAGACTGTGACAAACGTGCTCTGAGCTAATGTTATTAGCTAACCTGCTTTCTTTCTTCCTTAGGTTCCGATCACAAAACAAATCACAGACACAATACATTGTTAAGGCTTCAACTTCAGGAACTTTCTCTTCTGAAAGCATTCTGAAAATATCCTAAGAGGCTTGTCTGGAATCTCTTTACTCTGGTAGCTTTTCTCAACAAAACTGTTGATTGAGCATCTGAATTCCCAGTAAGGGAAAGGTGGAGACGATGATTCTGCTATCTACAGCTTCCAAGTGCCCTGTACACATCTCTCTGAATCCTGCTGGAATTTAGATCTGCCTTCTACATCTTGCCCTTATCTCCTTCTATGAGGAAATAATAAGTCCTGCAGAGCTGGAGTCCACAGGGCTGAGCTGCAGGAATTTAAATCAAAGTACAGGGATGCTCATCCCAGACACAGAACTGTCCCTGCCCACCTGGCCCGCCACTTTGTGTAGTGTGTCTCTTTCAGGTTTTGTGGTGGATTATGAAGCTTTAAAAACTCAATCCCGCAAAGGGATTTCTTTGACCCCAAATCCACCACGATGTCCGCAGGCCTCGTGGCAGGTGCCGTGAGTCTTTTAAGTGTTGTGGTTTTAACGCAGTCTTTAAAGCAGAAAGAACACTAAGCAGTCTGTGACTTAGCATGTGACAGAAAACATGTGTGAGTGTGTGAGCATGTGTCTGTGTTCAGTGCATGTGTGCTTGTGTGTGTGTGTGTGTGTGTGTGTGTGTGTGTGTGTGTGTGTGTGTGTACATGGATGTGGGAGCCAGGTATCAACTTTGAATGTCATTCCTCAGGAATCAGTCACCTTGCTGTTGTTGCTTGTGTTTTAGATTTATTTATTGTTATTTTATGTGTATGGGTGTCCTGCATGCAGGTATACCTGTGTAGTACATACGTACAGTGCCCATGGAGGTCAAAAAGGACATCAGATAGCCTGGACCTGGAGTTACATATGGTTATGAGCTGTCATGTGTGTGCTTGGGATCACACCTGGGTCATCGGGAAGAGCAGCTAGTGCTCTTTCCTGCTGATCCATCTCTTGCTTTTTTTGTTGTTGTTGTTGTTTTTTTGTTTTTTTGTTTTTCGAGACAGGGTTTCTCTGTGTAGCTTTGTACCTTTCCTGGGACTCACTTGGTAGCCCAGGCTGGCCTCGAACTCACAGAGATCCGCCTGGCTCTGCCTCCCGAGTGCTGCATCTCTTGCTTTTTTGAGATATAGTCTTCCACTGGGCCCAGGGCTTACCAGTTAGGTTAGTCTGCCCAGCAAAGCCCAGGGGCCTTCCCTTCTCTGGCTTACCAGCAGATTACAAACACGTATGTGTTCCACCATTAGCATTCGAGGGGCTAACTATTTGCAACTGAGGGCAGAGGAAGAAAGCCACTGTGGGAGAGTGCTTGGTTGAAATGCCTGGCCTGAGGCAAAGGAGAAGAGAACATTTCTAGAGCCTGGTTGATGCTTAGAGAATGCACTCGGGGGAAATATGGACCTGAAACAATGCTAATAACACAGCCCATCTGTTTCCCCTCAGACTCATTCCTGAGTTTAATTAAAGGTGGAATCTTGAAGGAGGACTAAATTGGTACCTTCCCCCTGAAGGTGGTCCCTCTGGGATGGTAACAGGGAGAAGGCTGGGAAAGGGGTATCCCTAGGGAGGTTCGTACAGCCTGTAGATTCTGAACAGCATGGTCAAATCAAGACAAAGACTTGTTTCTGCCCTTGAAAATGTGGGCCATTGTTGTACTCCGTGAGTGGAGCCCAGTTCTGCTCCCACTACTGTGGTTCTCTTTCCTAATACAGATGTTTCATACGTGCTTCGGAAAGCTGTGTTTTCACTTGTATTTCTAGTGAAAATACAGGTTGTGATCAGACTAGGAAACTTGTAAGCACTTAATTTTGAAATTTCCAGTTGGTCTCTTCAGCCCTCTCACATTAAATGACATGAAACAGATTGTCCCGTGCCTTCTGTGACTTATGACCCTCTGAGTAAGAAAAGGGCTGGTTCTGTGAGTAAAGCATTTGTTTCACAAGCATGAGAGCTTAAGTTTGGATCCACAGACCTGAATAAAGCCTGACACAGTAGGGTGCATCTGCAATCCAGCCACAGTAGTGAGCATCTGCAATCCAGCCAGACACAGTAGTTAGTGTGCATCTGTAATCCAGCCAGACACAGCAGTTAGTGTGCATCTGCAATCCAGACAGACATAGTAGTGTGCATCTGCAGTCTGGCAGTCCAATGGTGAGATGGTCAGTTGAGACTGGAGAACACCGGAAGCTCACAGGACAGTTAGTCTGGTGTATACAGTAGTAAACAGGAGAGCATGTCTCATCTCAAACAAGGGAGAAGATGAGGATTCACATCTGAGGCTGTCCTCAGACCTCTATATACATGTACATAACACACACACACACACACACACACACACACACACACACACAAATAATTATAGTAAAAATTTCAAAGAAATCCTAGACACCAAACATCTACTTCCAGCTTCCACATGCATGCACACACATGTGCATGCACACCTGCATATACTTGTGCGCACTCACAGACAGCATAGACACAATAAATAAATAGGTAAATAAATAGGAAATCTTTACCCCTCTTGTTTATAACTGTATATTTGTATTAGAAAAACTAAATCAGAAAGCCATAAGTAAATTTCAATTATCTTTTCAGAACTTGCTTTATACATTGAGCAAATGTTGCCCATTTCTCTTAGCATAGTGACTGAACATTTTCTTCCTACTGCCCGCCCCCTCCCTTTCTAAGGGTCTGGTTATAAGCACAGCTGCTTAGTTCTTGCCTCATTGTAGACACAACTGAATGATGTGTGCCTGCTGCATGTCAGACTCAACTTATTTGCATGTCTCATGTTGCAAACTTGTCTGCCCTGGTTTCCCCAGTTTGATGCTGACCGAGATGAGGATGCTGTGTTCTATGACATCAGCGTGGCAGTTGACAACAAGCTGTTTCCAAACAAGGAGGCTGCGACAGGTAAGTCACATCAGCCTTTGGCATCGGGGCATCAGGATCAACTGCCAAATGACCCAGGATTTCTACCTGTGACCGAAGCTCCACCAGCTGCTATGGGACTGATAGGGCTGCCCTGTTCTGAGCCTCATTCTTTCTGATTTAAAAATAAAGATTAAAAACTAAATAGAAAGGAAAGACTGAAAATATTACCTGAATAAACAGGAAGTGCAGTGTAAGCCACTTGCAAAACTACAGAAATGGCAGAGACGTCTGGCTTCCTGGACAGCCTCCTAAGGTTCCTCTGCAACACTGGGCATCTGTCTTCAGCCCATAGGCCGGGGATACATGGCAGAGTTTTCTATGAAGCAGGAATTTTGAAGCACTGTCCCGCCTTGTCTTGGCAAAGTTTGGCAGTCTTTTTCCTTTGTGTCCTGCTTGTCCAGTTGGTACAGCACACTGTCAGCAGTTGAGGCAGGGAAGTTTCTTGTTCGAATGGCTAGCTTTGCCACAATGAAAGCAAGCACCATGTGGAGGTCTTTGATGCCCATCATCCTTTTTATGAAGTAGATTGGTCCTGCCAGGAGCAGATGTGGCTCACTGTCATAAAAAACCTTAGGTTATTAAACATGTTATATGCCATATTCTATAAGTCTCTGAAGTATTTAAGATCACCTATCTAAAATATATTTGCTTAACCTTGAAAACATACCTAATATGACTTCAAGTGTGATTATTATAGATGACTAACTACTAACCTGCATTTTTTTAATTACAAATTGCATTTTGAAATGAGCTACATAAGCACAATACCCCAAACAGGAATAGAAACATATATAGTATAACAAAAATAACTTTAACTTTATATCAAAATCCATAATTTGTATACAAAAATCCAAACCAATGTAAAATATTTGAGATAAGTAGTTGTCTTTTTATCCTGTATTCCTGTATCCCCACTAAATGATGGCAAACATCCATAATCCACTGAATGACCAAAAACCACCAATCTCACCTCTTGGGAATGTGGGCATTGTGTTCTCTACACTGTTTCCTGTTGTCTGGAGGTGACGGCCCCCAGGGGGACATGAGAAAATTGAGACAATGCTCAAGTCCTGGGGAAACTGGTTGTAACAGCTGTTGTCCACTCTCAGAACTGTTCCCATGCAGAGGGATCAGCATGCAGGTCACCTGTTGTGTAGTTTTTCCTGGTTTATTACTTTATGTCTTTAGCCAAGATTTCAGGAGGTCTCCCCCAATCAAACTTAATCTCTCTTAACCTTGAAGGAATCCACAGCTTTTCTTTTCATGTGGAAACAAAAGTATAACCTCTCCCCCAATGCAATATATTTTCTGAACTCCATTTTAAAGTTAAGATATCCTAAAGTATCTAGGCTGGTTTAATTCAGTAGTCCCTATTACAACCCCATGTCTCTCAGCAGCTGTCACTTGCTCATCAGCAATCAAAATATTCAAAGTCAACATAGCACCATACAGGATCCAGACTCCCTGTATATTTCCCATCTTTATGTGGTTTATTCTTTTTATATTACTTTACTCTTTCTTTAACAACTTTACATTATTTATAAACTAATTTTTCCTATGACTGTCTATACTCATTTTTTTTCTTTCTTAAGCCTACACACATTTTTAAACACACTGTAACCTATTTAGAGATTTTTTTTCTGTCTGGACCTGTCTTTATTGCATATCTATAGCCTTTTCTAACTGTGTGAGCCAAACTTTAAACTGCTAAGTGATCGCGAGGCCCTCCGCCTTGGCTCAGTTGGCTGGCTCTCCTCTCTCCTTGGGTATGTGAGAGCTGAGCCTTAAGCCCACAAGCCTGGCCAAGAGCTACATTTACCTGGGTGTTGCATTTAACCACCCCAGCTCTAGGAAGTTGGTATCCACACTGTGGCAGGAGTTTTTTTTTTACTTAACTCGTTATTTCTACTTAATGTGCTAGCTACTCAAGTGCTCACTGACTGTATGGCAGAGTCTCTTAAAGGGGCTATATCCAGTTTTTGTTTGTTTGTCTTGTGTTTTTTATTTTGTTTTGTTTTGTTTTGTTTTACAGCTTTCTCAGGCCTTATGTAGAAATTCAGGCCCACATTGGGCATCCAAATTTCATCCGTCCCATCCCATAGGTCCAGGGTCATTTTTCTCCTCTTTTTCTAAGCCCTCAACCCTGGATCTCTGTCATGGAAAATATACCCTGATAGAGGTAAACTCCCCATGCTACTTTGTCTGTCTGTTCCCCCCCCAGACTCATAATTTTGTATGAATCACCCTCAATTTTTTACTTTATAGCCTAAACTTTTTATTATATTTTATGAAATCACAACTCAGAAGAATTAAGAACAAGATAAATAGGTTTCAAAATAAAGGTTTGGTAGTGGGAACATAGTTCCATGGTGTAGTACTTGCTGGTGTGTGCATGGCCTTAGATTAGACTCTCTACACTGCAAAATAGTTAGATACATCAATACATAGATGGAAACCGATCGACGATAGATGACAGGGAGATAATAATTGACAGGGAGATGCAAAGAGATATGTAATAGAGAATAGATAGATAATAAACAGATGAGAGATCACTATAGGTAATAGATGATAAGTATATAGATGGTTGATGTAGATAGATAGATAATTAATTGTTGATTGATATTGTATTGTGTATGTGCACACTATATTCAAATATATTAGCCACTCTGAAAACAGCAGGTTCTGAATTTTCGTTGAGCCCCCTGAAGACAAAACAAAACAAATAAGAAAATCCTGGCTCCAGCTCTAGTGGTCCAGAAGGAAGCCACAGGCAAGGACAAGTGTAAATCCACTCTACCTCTGTTCCAGAAAGTTAGCAGCAGTGTTCTTGCTCTCATATCTGCACCAGCTGGCATTTCTTCTTCTCTGCGTCCATAGTGTTGGTGGCCTTGTCAGCTCCCATTTTGGGACTCTCATGCCTGTCAGGAACGCTGCTGCAAGGGGATCCTAGAGAATGCTCTAAACATCCCGCCTCCCCAATAAACAACAAAACAAACCTGTGGCTTTCCTGCAGGCTGGGTGCCAGTGCCCTTCTTATATCCAAACACCCAGAATCCTTTGCTGTCTCATGTCCAGTGAAGCATCACCTCCACCCCTCACCCACGCCATCCCTGCACTTCTCTGATTGACTTAGCTCCTGCCTCTGGCCTTTGCACCTGCTCTTCTAGTCACACTGAATGCCTCTCTCCATCTGTGTGCTCCCACTATGTATAATGTTCCACAGTCTCATCCTACATGGACCAGATCCTCCTTTGTGTCTCTATTTAAGAGTGATATCTTCAAGACTCTGTGAGGATGTGTATGTCTGATTGTCTGTGGCATGTGTGTGCACACATGTGTGTGTCTGTGGTGTGTATGCATGTGTGTATGCATGTGTGTGTATGCATGTGTGTGTATGTGTGTGTGTGTATGCATGTGTGTGTGTGTGTGTGTGAAAGAGCCCAAGGGAGATGGCATAAAGCCTTTCTCTTCTATCTGGCCACCTCAGCTGAGCCACTGGCCCAAGCTCACACCTCACAGGTATACCAGATCTCCACCTTGAGCCCAGTATGTATGCATGTGGGGTTCCTTTGTCTTTTCCTCTGGCTGCAGGTCCATGACCTCTGCACCCTCCGCTGGTGTCCCTCCTCTGTGGAGCCCATTGTCACTTTGAGCAGAGCCGCTGCTCCCTGTGTGCCAGGGCCTCTCTCTGGGCTTGTGTTTCCTTATCTAGAAAGAGGAGACAAGAGTACCTGCCTCACGGGGGCGTTGGAATGAGGCAGGGAGTCTGTGGGTGAAGGGTGTTTCTGTCCTACTGGAAAGGCTGCGTATGAGCTTACGTCTCTGCAAAGGACTGGGGTCACAGGGAGACCACGTCTTAGACATTACCCTTTGTCCTCCTTCCCCAGATTCGGCTCTCCTACCGTTTCCCTCCTTCTTGCCCTCTCCCCATCCTATCCTAGAGTCACTGAAGAGCCGCCCCCCCCCCTCACTCAGGGGCTTGCCTTTCCCCAGATACATGCACTGCTGTTCCTCAAAGGGGTTCTGCCACAGTGTGGCTAACACTCCCGTACCTGTGGCATGAGAGTGGGATTCTCAAGTTCAGTGTATACAAAACCCTAACAGGAAGTACTTGGTCCTCAGAGAGGGTACCCAGGAGCAGCTCTATTTCTGACAGGAAGTACTCGGTCTGCACAGAGAGTACCCAGGAGCAGCATCTATCCCCGACAGGAAGTACCCGGTCTGCACAGAGAGTACCCAGGAGCAGCATCTATCCCCGACAGGAAGTACCCGGTTTGCACAGAGAGTGCCCAGGAGCAGCATCTATCCCCGACAGGAAGTACCCGGTCTGCACAGAGGGTACCCAGGAGCAGCATCTATCCTGACAGGAAGTACTCGGTCTGCACAGAGAGTGCCCAAGAGCAGCATCTATCCCTGACAGGAAGTACTCAGCATCTATCCTGACAGGAAGTACTCGGTCTGCACAGAGAGTGAGGGAGAATGCAGAGGTCCGTTGATTCACTTCAGTTGTGCAGTGCCTGTAAACAGAACACCTTTAATTTCTAAGTTGTGTTTTGATATGCCATGCTGAAGCACAATCCTGACAGTTTAATGGCTATAGGAACAGGAGATGTTGCTCCCCCTAAGAGGGCAGCCAGAGGGGTGGAAGAGTCTCATTCCGTGCTGTCCTCTACGGCTCAAGAAGCCTCACTGCAGGAGGGTCTCTCTAGCAGGCCAAGTGGCAGGTGTGCCCTCCTGCAACTCTAGATTGACATCTGTGACGCAGTCCTGGAGAGCACTGTGGTTCAGTTCACCCCTGCTGCTTCTTTAAAGCCCTCTGCCTGTGGTCCCCATTGAATTAAAGACAGCCCAAGGGTATTATTTCTGAAGACCACTTTGCATTAAAACAAGTGGCACGGAGTGTCAGGTGGGAGCCATTTCAGATCAGACCTTTCTTTGTTATCTAAAAAAGGATGTCTTTAGATCTGAAAAGAAATTGAAAAACTCAGAACAGGGAAAAATGAAAACCATACCATCACTTTTTCTAAATGTCTGAATTCGTTTCTGAGGAAGAAAATCATGTCTGGTGTTTTATGTGCCTGTGTATTGGTTGAAAGATAGCCTGAAACACATCAGTGTTTGTCTCCCTAGCTCCTTGGGCTATTAGTGAAGTCCCCATTTCCAGAAAACTAAGCAACCAGTGTTTTTAAAAATGTAAGCCATTCGATCATTATCTGAGCTGATAATGATACCCTTTGTCTATCATCTGAGATGTATTAATACTATGGTTGCCAGGGGCAACAGTGTGTCAAGAATCGCCATCCCTTTGTGATACAGTGAGATTTCTGTCAAAGCCCTTGATTAGGAAGGATCATCAATCTCCTCTTCCTCCTAAGAGGGAAGTTAGTTTTAATCAAAAGTCTTTTCATCCTGATGTGACTGAAAATTGTTTTCTAATGAATTTGCTGTTGTTTGAAACACTAGCATGTGGTCCCTACTTGGTGGGTTGTTAAGGGTCCTTCAGATTTCACTTCTTGAAAACAATGGGAAGAATGGTTTCCAATTCAACAGTAAGTAGGACAAGGGAGTCCTTGCGGCTGGGTGTTCACTAAGACTTTAGGTTCAGATCCTGTGGACTCTCGGAATCAGAGGACAGTCAGAGGTTAGGGAAACATTCACCCACACACCTTCCTCTACTTGACCAGGCAAGAAGACAATGTCTACACTGGAGACTAAGGAGAGCAGAATACATTTTTGTTGTCTTTAACACTGCTGTCCACAAAAGCTACCTAGGAAGGTGACTTGATTGTCCTGGCTTGAATTAGATTCCATTATTCCACCTCTGATGTTTCCACAGCCCCCTGCAATGTGCTCCATCCAAATGCATTTATTGTCCCTCCTTGTCTCAGGATGCTGAATGGACAGCCATGCCCTCCAGGTCCTCGCCTGTGTGGCAGCATTGGGAGAGCCCTGCAGGTCGCTCTGCTTAGTTTGTTGTCAGCAGGGTACATGAGAAGAAAGAAATGGAAGCTTCGAGTTCTGTCATTGCTATTACACAGCGGCACCTGCTCCGAGCTGAGGTCATCCCAGACACACAGTCAGACTCTGCCCTGGAAAAATAGAAAAGACTACCAAAACCACCAACAGTGGTCTAATATCAAGTACTTACTTTGTCAGTTTGGTAGAGAGTAGGGTTAGCAATGATCAGAGAGGAGCAGTAGTGTAGAGAGGTGCACACCTGCAATTTCATGAGAGCCTGAGGCTGTGGCTTCACAAGTTCAAAGCCAGACCGACCTAAAGACTGAGGCCCATCTGAAGAAAGGATGAAGGAAAAAGAGGAAGGGGAGGGATGAAGGGGGAAGAGAGAGGAAACACTGGGTGAGACCCCATCTTGACTCCAGTGTGAAGAGGAATATGAAGCAATACTTCTGAGGCTGCTCTACTTCTGAGGAGTGTATGAAGTATGTACTGTTATGAAAATAGACTTCATCAACCTTCCATACTCTGCCCAAGAATGACTCGTCAAAGCCCAGGTTACAGTGGAACATGAAGTGTTGCTGTTTCACGGGACATATAAACCTGTTATGGGCATCACTTTCCTGGCCAGGGAGGCATGCGCACTTAGGTAGGTGGCATGTCTCCCCACAGGAAAGAGTTGTTACGTAAGAGCGAATCAACTCTGCTATGAGAACTCAGGGTGGAAACTGATGGTGTAAATCTGAGCCTGGGGGATTAATGGCAAGTGATTCGATGCAGCCTTTTCTACCGAGAAGAGACAGCCTCCGTTAGTCAACCTGTGTCTTCTCGCTTTTGGGGAATGTGATGGTTAGTTTCAGCTGTCAGCTTGACACAATCTAGATTCATGGAGCAGTTCTCAGCTGAGGAATTGTCTAGATCTACCTGTCGGCATGTCTGTGGGAATTGTCAAGATCTGCCCAGCCTGTGAGCATGTCTATGGAAACTGTCTAGATCTGCCCAGCCTGTGGGCATGTCTGTGGGAATTGTCTAGATCTGCCCAGCCTGTGGGCATGTCTGTGGGAACTGTCTAGATCTGCCTGTGGGCATGTCTATGGGAACTGTCTAGATCTGCCCAGCCTGTGGGCATGTCTGTGGGAACTGTCTAGATCTGCCCAGCCTGTGGGCATGTCTGTGGGAACTGTCTAGATCTGCCCAGCCTGTGGGCATGTCTGTGGGGACTGTCTAGATCTGCCTGTGGGCATGTCTGTGGGAACTGTCTAGATCTGCCTGTGGGCATGTCTGTGGGAACTGTCTAGATCTGCCCAACCTGTCGGCATGTCTGTGGGAACTGTCTAGATCTGCCCAGCCTGTGGGCATGTCTGTGGGAATTGTCTTGACTGTTAATTGAGGAGGAAACACCCACCCTGAATATGAGCAACATCATTGCCTGGGCTGGGCCCTGGACTGTGTGGGAGCAGAGAGAGCTATCTGAGTGGCCAGCAGACAAGGATATGTTCATCACTCTCTGCTCTTGCCTGTGGACATGAATGGGCAGGTGCCTGAGTTCTTGACTTCCTCTCAATTACGGAGAGACACCTGGGGTTGAATGCTGAACAACCCTCCCTCCCTGTCTCCTCTGGTGAAGGTGATTTGTCACAGCGAATGAAATGAAGCCAGAACAGAGGTTAAGGGCACCCGTAGGCTTGAGGCAAAAGTCACGTTTTAGAACGGGAAGTCAGCCCTGTCTGTCCAGAAGCTCCCTGCTCTTCTTCCGATCTGTCCGTGGTGCCCGTGTCTCCGTTCTCAGAACATCCTGAAGCCACCTCTCCTAAACACTCATCTTCCCCTCCAGCCTCAAGTTCCCGCGTCAGTTCCTTGTGAAGACTCAGTACCACTGTCACCTCACGGATGACCAGATCTAGTCCTCACACTGCTGATCCGTCACCCTCACGGATGACCAGATCTAGTCCTCACACTGCTGGTCTGTCACCTCACAGATGACCAGATCTAGTCCTCACACTTGCTGGTTTCCGAGTCTTTCTGTTGACAAATTAGCCTCCTTCAGAACTTGTTCTTCTGAAGGCCGGGACAGGACCCAGAGTGTCTGTGTCCTCTACCACCAGCCCAGACACAGAGTGTGGGGGATAGAGCAGTGTATAAATGTGTGTGTGGTTAATGGAACAACAGGACAGTATGGCAACCTGATGGGAAACTTCTTGCTTTGGAAACACACAGCCTCCACCAGCTGATCATGTCTTTCTTAAACTTAGATTCAACTGACCTTGACCCTTCGATGATGTTTGATGCTGGAGAGATCGTTGACACAGGATCAGATTACGATGATCAGGTAAACTAAACCTCAAAGCGTTTTTCTATTTAAATGTGTTTCATTTTAACCTCTGCATCTCATAAATATGAAAGCTGAAATGTTGGCTCTGGGAGATCTGGACGGATCCCTGGCAGTGCATTCGTGTGGAGCCCTGGTCTCTCATGCAGCCTTCCTTTTCTCTCTCACCTGTCCTCATTTCAGACCCAAAGCAGTTAGGTGAGGGAGCGACCTAATTCCTTGAGATAAATTCCTTGAGATAAAGTAATTTCCTCTTGCTCAAGAATCTGCCTGTGTCTCTGTGGTGGCTGATTTTGTCTAGTTGAGAGGATTAACAAATGCTGAGAACGTGAGGAACTCGTACCCTTGGCCACCAGGATCAACTGGTGGTAAGATCCAAATAGGGGAGGCACCGGTCCACACTCCGGGGTCCCAGACAGATAAAGAGAGAAAAAGGAAAGAAAGCCACTGAGCAGCAGACTCTCTCTCCCCTCTCCTTTTCCCTCTCCGTCACCCTTTCTCCCCCACCTCTCTCTCTGCTTTGCTAACCCACCAAGATTCACGGGAGCAGCCGCCTCACCACACCCTGAGAGCACTCCCTCTGGAGCACTCCCTCTGGAGCACTCCCTCTG